CTAAATAGGAAGATAGGAAACCGATTCGTTTTTTTTTCGAGAATAGCCATTCGACGAGACAAAGCCTCTATCGAATGAAATCTACAACATCGATTTCCCACCTCCATCACTTTGCGGAGTATACCTGAGAGGAATTAAGCGGAATCAAAGTAGTAGAATTCGTTTCGAGTCTCGAAATCGAATTCCATCGTATACCGCTTTTCCGCTTTATTTTCTGGGAATTCGAATCGTGCGAATCGATCGCGTTTGTTACGATTCGACTTTTTCAGATATACCGTCTATACACTTCCGTTGCTTCCTATTCTCATAGAGAGTAGAGTACCGGCGTGAAGTCGTACTCGGCTAGAGGATTGGGAGCCGAAAAAAGAGGCAAGGTTTTATATCGAGAAAAAGGGGATTTCGGATTTGCCGGACCGTGTCCACCCATTGCATCGTTTACGTCCAATACAAACAAACGAGCTAGATAGAAGAACATAGCGAGGGAAACAGAGAGAAAGGGAGAACGGAGAGAGCTAAAGGGCTGAGAAACGGGAGCAGCGACCGGGATTTTAACGTCGAGCACACTCGTTTCGAGTCGATAGGTCCACTTCGGCTGCTTGGGAAGCAGTCGACATGGTCCAGCAACTTCTCTTCCTCTTCGATCCTACCCTTTTGCTCTAACAGCTAAACCATCACTTTTGAATCCATAAAGAGAACGAGTCGTCCTTGCCTATTCATAAATATCGGTTAAAATCGACCGTGGATATGTTCACCTGGATACGCAAAGTTTACTTTTCACTAAATCCCGAAAGGCGACTATGCACAAAGTTATCATAAAGAGGAAGCATCGAAGGGATTCTCTGCGACATATTCTCTGTATTTCTCTCGGAGTACTTTTTCTCTCGAGATACACTAAAATTTCAACATACGAACCTAACTCGTCTTTTCAGCTATGTATCACCCTTGTTTCCCTTTTGCCTTTCTCTTACCCTCTTCCTCCCCACTCTTTCTCTCTCCCTCGCGCACTCTCTCTCTCCCTCTCTCTTTCTCTGCGATTCCAAGGCTCTGGTATTATTAAAATCATTATTTCCGTCCGTCTCTCAGTATTCATACTGAAATAAATAAACTGTACACGGCAGGGGAGAGTGAGAGCGAGAGAGAGAGAGAGAGAGAGAGGGAACTGTATTACTTTCAAGGGACGCGGGAAATGGGCTCGCGTATATACCAGGAGACCTCGCAAATGTACAGAAACGAATAGGCGGAAATATTACGAGCGGAGAGAGAAAGGAAAAGCGTAAGAAGAAAATGGAGAAAGAAAGAAAGAAAAGAGAGTAAAGGCGTTGTGGAGTTCACTTTGTATGCAGGCAAGAGTGGCGGATCGAGCGACCAAGGAAGTTGCATTATATCTATGTGTTAGTCCTATGATTCTTCTTAGTCTTTCTTTTTTCACGAGGAAAGTTCACAGGTGGATTTAAGCTTTACTTTGTTCTAATAGTCGACAAGATTCGCGGCCGAGAAGATAAGGAATTATTTTCCGTGTAATATGAAAGAAGTTTTAACGTATCATTGAAACAAAACGTAACATACTCGCGCAATGTGGTCTGGTATTTGCAAGGAAAACGCGAATGCATTACGATGTTATCATTGACGCAGTACGTTTAAAATAAAACAGAATGGAAAAAGAAGGAAGTCCAAAGGATGAAATTGAATAACGATAACAGGTTGCCATTCGCATTTGCAAACGTCAATATCGTTTGATAGCGAGCGCATGAAAAAGAGAAAACAACCATCATGAAGTTAAACGCGAGACCTTCATGCTCGTCCATTCGTGGCGGAGATAACGAATGGTACAAGTCAAAATAGCCACACCTTCACTAAGACGAAATACGCGCACTCGATCCGTGCTTCACCGGCTGGCTGCTGCTTTCTACAGTGCGCCTTGCACATACGTGTTTGCGTTGCGAAAGCGCCATTCCAAGCGGAACTAACGGTAACGAACGGTTACGAACGTAAGGGACCGGTTCGCAGAGTAAACGACATTTCACTCGAACAGCGTCACGCTCACGCTAGTCAGCCAGCCAGTAAGAGGAAATAGAGGGAAAGAGATGGCGAGATTGGATAGACGACTGAATCGGTGAGAAGCGTAAGTACGGATTGGTGACTCTCAAACTTTAGATACGAAAGGATGTCCACGTAGAGAAGAGAAAAATTCTAATGTCATAGATATCGAGAGGCATCGTACGTAGAGCACAGTCGACTTTGAAAGTTTCAAATTTGTTCGATCGATAGAAAACGTTTCTCTTCCTCTCCCTCTCTTATAGTAACGATCCTGGTAGAACGATGGAGAGGGCACGTTCATGGTCGAGATAGGAGTATCGTGAGAGTTCCCGAGTGACGGACGATTCTAGTGCGCAATGGCGCGCGACATCTCTAAACTTCTGGCAAGCCCGGCGCACTGAGTGCGTTTCGCTGGTTTATAGCGTGCTCGTGGTTTAACGGATTCCGGGCGTTCGGTCCTGCTACAGCATCATCCACTCGCAGGCAAGCGTTGTTGCTTCGAGAGGGCAGCCGGTTCTTCGAATTGTACTGTCTCTCAGGCCGGTGCCTGCATCTGCATCTGCATCTGCATCGAGCCGGAGGTCGGATAGTAAATTACACGTTGACTAGAACTGACAACCGCAATGCGTGCCATACGCGACCGTCGTGTACTGCCCTCTTCTCATTCTCACACTCACTTCCTGTACAAGACGGCGTGCGTTTATGCATGCTTACTTCTATATTATCGAAAATCGCTCGCTGAATTATATGAGATAAAGTATCTTATTAAAGGCGAAAAAAAAAAGGCGATATTCTCCGGTACTAGCAGTTTACGCCGAATCGTATTCCTACTCTACGATATTAAATCAAGAAATAGATAATGAATCCTACCGATCCCGACATACATACTTTACGGGAAAAGTTATTTATTGCGAATTCAATTCTTTCATAAATTCTTTAATCTTTTACGGAATATGGAGCATTTTATTCCTGCAATTGAAAATTTCATCGTTCGTAGGTATTATATTTTCCAATTTCAGATGATAAGATTGACATTTAAATTTCAAAACGCTAGAATATACAATGAAACGTCCAAGGTTTATAAACGTATCTACCTAGCATATCGTAGCACCTATAAAGAGAAACGCGCAAGCGCGCGCGCGCCTTCACACCGTCTTTTCTTTCCGGAAGACGGCATATTACAAAATCCTACTACTGGCTGGCATAGACCCCGCCGACATTGACTAGGCTGCTCGCCGTACACGTGGGTATCAGTGCCAAACACCGGTAGTTATGTATATTAGGAGCAGTAAAACTGATGCAAATTTATTTCGAAATTCTGCGCCGCTCTCGTAAAATCGTTTTAAAACTACCCTCGTAAAACGATTTGAGACCTTCTCCGTTCTTCTCCCTCTTCCTTCTCCGTTACTTTTCTGTCCTTCTCTTCCTTCTTTGCTCCCACGGGAAGTACCGCTTCGAGGCTTCAAGCCGGAAAGGCGTATCACGTCTTAAATAAATCGTTCACTTTCCGCCTTTAAAGCAACGACCTTCTCTTTCGACGTCGTAGAAATGCATAGTAGTCGATACGATCGTTTCTCCTATATCTTCAATTCTTTCTCTCACTCTTTCTCTATCTCCCTCTCCCCCCCCTCTCTCTCTCTCTATCTATCTCTCTTGTTTTATTTTTAATTATATACGATAAATAAATATGAGAGGTATGAAACCACGAATCAACATTTTTTAGACCTTAGGTACATCGTATAAACAAGGAATACCTGAAACACAATCTATGGCGGAAACGAAATTTGTTCCGGAGGCAAACGAGGAACTTTGGCGTTCGTTTGAGATCGTGCTGGAACAAGAGCGAGAGAGAAAGAGAGAGAAGCCGTGGTCGTTGAAGGGGAACGAAAATTTAAGGGTAGCCGTATATTATCGCGATGAAGGGATTGTCTGAGGTTAACTGCCAGACCTTTGTAAGAGAGTGTGGCGCGAGCAGGCGAGAGCGAGAGAGAGAGAGAGAAGTGGAAGGAGGAAAGGTAAAAGAGGTTGGAGGTTGCACTATGAATATGCTGCCATTAGTCACACGCCGAACCGCGCCATAGAAAGAGAAATAGGTGACACGAGTTTCGCGGAATTGCGCGCCCTATTGGTATCCCCAGGGTACCGCGGGAGTAACGTGAACAATTCCTCGTGAATGCGCATTTGTCCCACCTCCCAACGACGAGCTCTTCTGCCGCTAGGCGGGTTACTGACTATTATATCCCTTCTCCCGCCTCCGTCTCCCCCCCCTCCACAGATAGATAGGAACGAGGAGAGGTGCTAGAAGAGAATAGGGAGAAGCGGTATCCAAAAGGTCGATAAAACTTACTCAAATCCCCAGCAAGAAGCACGCCGTGGCATTTCTGTAGTCCACAAACTTTAACAACGGTACCAAAACGTCCCTTCAACACGATCCTTCCAGCCGCTATCCAAATTCTCTGTCTTATCACAAAGCTACGTCGTTCGAAACATTAGCTCTCTAAGCGACGACCCTGTCACCGACAGACTTTATCGTTACATCTCAAAAGGCAGCAATGAAACGGTTAACTAAATTACTATATGTTACCTGTCACTCGCAGACATTGCTTCTCCCTTCCCTCTCTCATTCTCTTGGATACAAACTATCTCTGTCAATGAGCCCTATCCTATTCTCATGGATAGTCGGATGTTCTTCCGTTTTGGATACTACATTCAGCATTTGGAAAAGCCTTGAAAGCACTTTGCACGCGATATTCTTGTAAACGAATAGAGAACGGATCTAGACTATAGAGAAGGAATGAGAGAGAAAGAGAGAATCGCGTCCGTGACTAGCTGCATTCGTGTACTCTATGGTTGATGTAGCGGCCATAAACGTGGCTCGTTAGTGTCAATAGTTATAACCGCAGAATTGCTATCTGTGGAAACGTAATTCTAAAATCAAGCGACGCGAAAGCAACTTAACACTGTTTCCTGAAGAATTTAAGAGACGTGCTCGATCCTTTATTTGAAGTAAATTCGATATTACATTAAAAAAGGGAACATATATTTTTATATAACGTTATATTTGATGCCAAAATGTCATATTAGGTTCTTTATGTCTCAATGGCGATGGTTCACATCTGGTGCCCCTGATTATATCGTCTACTTTGCCTCTGATTAAACGAAAGTTCGTTTCTGTCGGCTTCAACGTCTTGTTGATCGTTTTTTGCAGTCTGTTCGTGTTGAACCACAGCTCCTCTTCGCCGTACTTGTTCGTGATCACTTTAATTCCGCTAACGTACTGTAAAGTTTCCTCGTCTTGAGAAATTATAACGATATTCTCAGGAGCGAACGGTTTCTCTATGTCCCAACAAGCGATAGCCGTTAATTGGACGAGTTGAAAAAATATAACACCTCGTCGGGAAGTCGCCTGTACGCCGGCCTGGCTAGCTCGCTTGTAATTTGAATGAAATATAACAGGCTCGCGAAATTCGCTTTCCTTCAGCGACAGTGTGTCCATGAATTTCTGGTAATAACTAGCGAGCGAGTTGAAATACAGATATCTGAAAGTATTATTACGGGTCATTCATTAGCAAAAAAAGAGAACGTACGTTCGATTCGTTCAGGTTCTACGTTCCAACGCGAATTCGATCTCAATCGTTTCGAGGCATTATCGTACCGTGTCGGCGATCGACAAAAGGGCAAAGCGAAATGATCCAAGATATGTTTTGAAACACGACCAAAAACCGGTTTTCGTTCATGACAATTCGAGCTTACAAAATACGATCGAGTTGAGTATTTGATCGACGCGAAATATAATTTGCCAATTGATTCGAAACCGAATTAAAGTGCAAAAAAAGAGGAGAAATATAAGAGAACAACCTTGAAAAGCAGTGACTCGAGACGAATGCTTATTAACGCACCTGTGATCGTAAAATCCGACTGGCGAGAGCGACATACCAAGGGTTCCGTCGGTCAGATTGAACCACTCCCCGGCAATCGTGATGTTCATGGCATCCTCGTCCGGACCAAATGCATTGCCGGCCGTGTTCGAAAGTCGCCAAGAATTATTTTTGTAAAGATCATACACGAAAATGCCGTTCTGATCAACATCGGCAACGTAGAGGTACGCGTCAAAGCACGCCTTACCAATGTCCACGATTGGTGTGACTAAGGCTGCCTTCCCATACAATACCTGATCAGCGGGTATTATGTATCTGTGGATCAATTCATCTTTATCTAAATCAAATATCAGGATCTTCGTAGGACAGACGGCATTTCTTCCTATCCTTCCAGTATCCACGACCCATAATCGATTGCACTCGTCTATCTGGACATTTTATACCGTAAATTATAACGATGTTTCAAGAATAAATTTTAGAAGAAAATTTAATGAAATGTCGAACTAAACATATAGATAAATCTGTCGTGCACAACTCTAATTTGAAAGATTTTAATTAATTAGTAGAAACAAAATATAGACAATAGATAATTATCATTTATTTAGTTCGACTTAATGACTCTACATTTGAAAATAAATGTTCGACCATATTTACCGCCAGTCTATATACAGATATAATGCTGTCGCAACCGGACACCGCCGTGTGCCATTTCCAGTTAGGATAAGGAATTAACAAAGGGCCACCTGGGCCAGTTAAATTGCTCAGCACAGAAAGAACGATCGGAGTACCGTGTAACCATTGTGGACTTGTGACAAATATTCGTCCATATCTATCGACGTCAACGTCTTGAGTAAATGGGTTGCCGAGAGTAAAATTTCTTCCGGTCAAATGAACGGCCGGATAAACCCAGTCCAGGTACTTCCATTGATAAGCCACCTCCAGATTAGAACCTTCGATACGACCGAACAATTTCAAGAGAAAAAAAAACAAACTTAATGAGACTTTCATTGCTTCTAGTGATTTTTTCACGCACTTGTAAAACAAACGATCTATTATAAAACTTCACTCGCGTTTTTCTATATCGAATTACGAGGGAATTCGATCCTTCGATATCTTAATGTAGCAGATTCTTTCGAAAATCCTTGTCTCAACTGTGTCCGCGAACGAAACCACACTGCATCGCAGAGTGGGTAAGTGGATATTCTGAACAGTAGCGTAAGATGTTTCTCCAGTACTGGTACCAGAACCGGCCAAGCGCCCCACTATTGTAAGTTTTTTTCAGATTATCTACATCACGGCCCACTACTACTTTTCCGTTTATGCTAATCGAAAAGTCTGGTACGCGTGCGACTGGATAGCTGCCAGATGGTCCATCGTGCGCGTTATGATTCGTCGAGTTATCAGAAAAGCATGGATATTCCCAGAACAAGAAGGCGCGATGTTATCCATAGAAACATGAGTCGTATAATAATGTGAGCCAACATTCTTCGTTTAACATAATAAAATTTTCCTTTTATTTCTTTAAACGTTATAATTAGACTTAAATAACCGGATACTAGTTAGTTATATAAAGATGACGCAAATACGGCGTTATTTCAATGCGTTCGGCTTATTTAAAGGCTCGTAATATTTTTAATTAGCAAGAAAAACTCATACTGTTTAACTAATGGAAACGTATATTAATTGTACGCATGCAAATCGAAAAACACTAATGGAAAGATAAACCAGTTTTTAATTGCGTAATATCGATGAAAGAGGAATGAATATAAGAGAAATTATGTCAAGTATTAGCATTTCATATAATTTCCTAGTTTCTAAAAGGAAAGAAGAAACATCATTTGTTTCTAAAAGGAAAGAAGAAACATAAATGATTTCTAAAGAAGTTTCTTTATTTAGAAACAAGTTCTAATATGGTGAGTCAACCGAAGAGAAACAGGCATTTTACACTTCATACATCGGATATGAAAGACTATTGCGAAGGTGCAATGATTTGATGAAATTAGAAAAAGCAAAAAGTTGAACAAGGTGCGGCGATGGAAAGAAAGGTAAACGCAGTAGAGAAAAAATAGGCAAGGTATCGCTGATACTTTGACTGAAGGCTATCACATAAATTAGCAAGGATGCTCCCGTAAGATTACTTTCCTTTGATCATAGCTTGCTGTCAAAGCAACGGCTCTTGATGCCAAGGAAAGTAGGTTACGTTATGAGCGCAAGTGTTCACGCTGGTATTTCTTTTTTTTTTTCTTCTTCTTCTTTTCACGTGCATATTCACCGAATAATAATAAACCTTTGACGTTATCGCTCGCACGTATGCCAAATTGTTAACGTTGGTGGTTCCCTTTATGCATCAAAGCAGAACTGCATTTTTCACGTTCCTGCTACTTGGCACGTTTTCATTTAAGGTCACAATAATTAATCTCCAGAAACAATGATACATTTAAGGTACTATAAAGTATCATAACAACGGAACACCGAAGAATTCTACGTATTTAAAAACTAATAAGTAGTTTCTCGGGTTAAGCGAAACTCTTTTCCAACAGCTGTTATACCACGATCACGCAATGTGGCTATAAGCGTGCTTGGGAGCGCAGTACGCTTTTCATCGCGAGATGCAGAGTCTAATTTTTTTGTCGGCTGGTCTCGAGGTTTGAATTGCATTACGCGCTTCTGCCCGTATCCGAGTGAAGCAAAACTACATTTGCCGAAGAGAAGTGGAAACCATAAATCACTTGGCTAGTCACGTTTAAGCCAAACTGGAAGACAAATGGCCGGCTAATTTCAATTTTAATGCGTGGATCCGAAAGGTATTGCGTTGGACCGGATTGGATGGTTTTGATTATCATTATAAGACGGCTCTCTGCGGAATGCCGGACATCACAGTGACTAAGAAGGAAAATACTTTAAGTGGAAGAAAGTTACAATCAAAGTTTTAATTCGTTAACTCGAAAATCGATCGTTCTTGCGGAAGATCATTTCTTCTGGATGGCCGAGCGCGTGCAAACCACTCGGACTTCCTTCGAAACGAATTAATGAGAAAATAGAAAGTACCCGTGGTCATTACGCTTGCCGAGACTTAGTGTTCAGAAAAGATATCCGGGTCAATTAGGTCAACGATAATAACTTGTCGAGATGACAAGAGGGAGATTGTCGAATAAAATAACGAGCGTTTTAAAAGCGTTGATTATTATCGGAACGCGTAACGAGCGTGAGAAAACAGTAAAATGTCACTTTGTTAGAGTTTACTTTTTAACATTTTTTCACCGTTGCGGAAACATACTCCTATAATTTAAATACTCTAAATCATTGATCGATTGAAATCAAAAGAAACTAACTGAACGATCTGTTAAGTTGCCCGTTTGTTATTCCTTGCGGCTAGTGTTTTGTAACGTTCATAGTTGGCTATTTTATATATCGACAAGAGACAAGAGAGGCTTCCAAAATATGTCTCACTCTTCGATAGAAATAGTTCTTCTTTGCTACTTCCCTCTATCTCTTCCTCCTCCTCCTCCTCATCCTCCTTTTCCTCCTCCTCCTCCTCTTCTTCTTCTTCTTCTTCTTCTTCTTCTTCTTAAACTGAGTTTAGTAAACCATCCTACAAGGCAAAGTTCTGAACGTACGGGTGGCATCGAAGAAGGAGCGTAAAGTCGGAGACGCCGTAAAAGTTGGCTAGAGTCAATTTTGCAGTTGAAATTGGTAATACGATTTGTAACGAAATATATAGTCGAAGAGAGCAAAACTGGAAAAAGAAAAGAAAGGTGGAAAAGACGTCAAGCATGGTTGAAAAACGAGCCTTGTAACTTTTGTCCACTATCTCTTTCCTTTTTTCTCCTATCCCCATGGATGACATTCACTGGACCAATCCATTCGGAGTTTGGTGTCACGGACACGTCTACCTTACAAAACGTGACAGCCTTGCGGGAAGACGTTGTACGTGACTGTCGTACCAACGAGAGATAGCACAGGAAAGCACGTTTTCGTGAAGAATGCGAATAATTAATTAATTATTACGATAAAAGGCAAATAAGAGAGAGAGAGAGAGAGAGAAAGAGAGAGAGAGAGAGAGAAGCGTTGAACGCAGTTGAGTTTGGAGGTCTCACGCACGATAAATTCTACAGCGAGATAAATAAAGCGTCACGGACGGCGTAAAGCGGAGCACAGTTTTACTCTCACATTAGCGTCGTCCGTAACGCAAAAGTATGCTACTCTGAATTTCTATTCAGTAACGAAGACACACAAGGTGTCGCGAAAGCCGCTATTATCACGCTCGGATAACAGACTTAATGTCTGTAGGAGGAAAAGAGAGTAAAAACTTTTGCATTTACGAAAATATGTGAATGCGTGTGCGAACACATTTTGAACGTTTATTTTTTTCCTTCTCTCTTCTCTCTCTCTCTCTCTCTCTCTCTCTCTCTCTCTCTCTCTCTCTCTCTTTTATATTTTTTCTTTTCATTTTCTTTTACTTGCTCCTAAGAGCGATTTTTAGAATGAACCCTTGAAGTAAGCATTCCTTACAAAACTTTTTAAACGTGGAAGGACGGTGTTTTAGCAAGGCGACACTTCACGTCCCCAGTTTTACTACGCAAATGGCAAACTATTAGGAAGCACGAGTATAATCTGCAAAAATGCAATAATAAGCGGCATACAAAGTGAAAAACGGTCGCGAACTTCTTCCAACCCCTTGACCTCGACCACCCTTTTCTCTTTATCTCTTTCTTTCTCTTCCTGAACCTTCTCATCTCTCCACCTACCAGCGGAGCTACCATCGCCAGTGTAATACTCCAAATGAAAACTTACGCTAATTAAACCGTTAATAGCTGGCCGCGCATGTACGTAACGACCTGCGGTGGTTACTTAATTCCGAGAAAATGAAACGTTCGGACTCTGCGTGCATGTAAACACATCGCTCGCCTATCTCCTTTCTCCGTATTCGCGAGAGCGTGAGTATTCGCGCGAGCGCACAGCGTGTTCGTCGTGTGCACGGCCGGTCGTCGCTAGCGAAATCGTACTTTTTGTTCCTTGCACTTTTCGGTGCATTTTTAACATCCTTTCTTTTCCTCTCATCCGGATCTGTGTTTCGTTAAATCTCACGAGAGGTCCAGGCCGCGGGCTGCCGCACATTTTCCTATGTTTCTTTTTTCTCTTATTCCGACTACGTATTAACAGAGCCATGAAAAAGAATTGAGAAAGTGGAATTAACGTTTGTTCGTGTATCGCTAGTATGCGACTAGTAAAAATGTCTGCACGTTTTTTAAAAACCAAATCATTATGACGGGACGACGCGTTGTAGAAATATTAAAAAAAAAAAAAAAAAGAAGGTTTAAAAAATGAATGATCAAGAAAAAGTATGTCGGATTACTATTAAATTTATACTTTCTTTACAAGTATTTTAACGATCCAACGAAATCGTGGTATAAAATTGTGCAAAAAAACGCACTCGTCCGTAAATGGACTCGAAAAACAGTTGAAGCACAGCAAAGAGAATAATTAAGCCGCATTTCAAAGGAGTTTCGTGTCGCCGTTCTCCGACCGAGAAGCAATCTTTTTCGATCGATTCTCTTCCTTAATAGAGAAACCCTCGCGCGCGACATAAGAGAAAGAGAAATCGATCGAATATCCCGATGCCTATCCGTGGCAACGTGCAGGGAAATTGAACTTGCGAAAGGAGCGAATACGAATTTGAATAACGCAATTCACCGAGTTAAGTTTCGAAAGAGGCATTAGAATGCAACAGCTGGCACTGTTTCTATCGCTGAAGCTACTGTTCTCGTTCATGAAAATCTTCGTTATCGAGGATGTGTCTTCCATATAAATAGTTCATGAAAATAATGTGTATATATAATAAATAAAAGTGAAATTGTTAGAAAAACCAAAGGTCGAAGATTAGAAAGTTTCGACCGAAACAAGTAGTCTTTTTCCTCCTTCTCATCTCGGCCAACCCCTTTTCCGCAGCTTGTAGTCCCTCGAACGGCACTAATATGGAACTTTAATTATCGAGAGTGCCTGCACCGCCCATGACTTTACTTTTTCCGGAATAACGAAAATCTTACAACCGAGAGTATATTCTCCGCAATTTTTCTTATTCCATACGACGACAATAGGACGACAGTGTCAGACGTAGCAACGTCGTTAGCTCATGTTAGTCAAGTAGGATTATTCTGGCATCACCTGAATCTTGTAATGTTTTGTTGCGTAAAAAGAACTGTATCTCTTCGTCGGCATGGAACCTGTGCCATATCTAAACCCTATTCCCTTGTTTTTTTTTCCTT